CCCCAAAACCCCAAAACCCCAAAACCCCAAAACCCCAAATATGCGACCAAAAATAGGATCTTAATAAAATTATTTACCCATCCTCTTAATGAAATTTGACCAAAACGATTACTTCATCTTCAGAGAGAATATCTACAGGCTCTCTGTAGAAGAGCTCGAATGAATCCTTCTGGAGACAAAGGAGAATATTAAGTCTATCACTTACAATGTTGGTAAAAGAGTTGGCAAACTAGAGTACATCAAAATGCTTCTGGTTATTTATAAGATAAAGTCAAAGGAAGTGGACTTACAGCTATTCGAGGATATTTATCAAAAACTCATCTCTAAAGAGAAGGATGATAATGATCCTCTGTTCCCTGTTAAGTTCAAGGCTGAGTTTATACTGATCTTCTTCAAAATGTTCATGAACAACGGGTGCTACTCCAGGTGTGAATCCCTCTTGGAAGCACAAAAAGAGCTCTATGAGAGGAACAAAGATAATGAATATATCGCTTTTTATTACCACAGCACTTATCTTTCAGCTACATTGGAGTTTATGACACTGAAATCATCCACGCCTGAGAAGCACTTCAAGAGATACTACAGTGTAGATGAAGAGTAAGCAAATTAGGCCAAAATTTTCGGTACTAGGTTTCCTTTCCAAGTGATATCCAAATTTACACACATTGTTATCATCAGACGAGCATGGTGCGTCATCTTAAGTGGTTATCCTTGGAAAGAACGTACCTCTTAACATGCTTGTGCGACCCTAAACTTGCCAGACACCCTAATAGGAGTATCAAAAGTTGCAATATCTTGTGCAAGATACCATTTTTGAGTTTGTAGACGTCCTTGCTTCACAATTAGTTAAGAATAGAACTCATCCGATTGTTTCCCATTTTATCTAACACTACCTATAGGTCTAAGACTGAGGAAATAGTATTCCCGGAGGAAGTCCAGAATGATCTCGATTTCTTAAGGAATAAACTTCTGTGCCAGTATTATCTGGAAACTGACAAGGACAAAGCAGTAGAGACCTATGACGTCCTTCTTAGTATCTGTGTCAACACAAAGTTAATGTATTATATGCATGAAGCTTCAAATCTCCTATTTGCACTCTCGGATAGCTTTTATGATGAGATGATACCACGAAGGAAAGTTCTACAGTCTCTCTTAGAGGCAGAGATGAAGGATCACCCAGATAAAAATATGGCTTTTAGCAACATCTATTGCAACATTTTCAAAATTTATGCTGCACTTGAGGATAAGAGTAAAGATGGGTTAACAAAGATTGAAGAGAATCTGACAGCAATCTATGAGCACAATCGGATGACTTCCTTCTTTGCTCTCCATTATGATGTCTGTCTTTCAGTCCCTCTATTCTCAATAGATCCAAAGTTTGTGAGTCAGGACAAGTTGTTCATCATCAAGAGAGAGTTAACAAAGTTGTCAAAGATCTTGGAAAATCCGAATACAAAGCACGAGATAAATTATTACAAGATACCTACTTTCTGACTTGCTCTAAAGATGCAGCAAACGATAAAGACAGCTTTGGACTACAGGACGCTATCACTGTATGCGAAGGCACTTAGAGATGATAAGCTTTCGTACATCTCTTTCATTTCATCATTCGAGACGTTCCCTGCTCCATTCATGAAACCCTTGATAGTGAAAGCAGTGCAGTACTGATATTTCTTAGGAATCAGCAAATTACATAAATTTAGGACGAACACCGAACTCCAATTTATGAACCTCCTGCTAGTCGTACCTGAAACAGAGGCCATAATGAAGGGAAAAGATCTCCTCGAGACAATGATCGATCAGTTCCAAAGGAGCAAGAACCACCGGATCAAGGAGAAGCTCCTCGTTCTCTACCAGATCGCAATGATTGTAGCCAACAGAGAGTCTGATAATGAAGGCTTTCTTAGTAATGGGTTGAAATATTTAAAACTTGCTCCAAAGTACCTAGAAGAGAACAATAGTGTCTGAGATATCTTTACAAAAGTGATTGACTTCTGAGCATCTCAGAGGAACATCAAGTTAGCAAAAGAAGTTTCAGAGAACTTCTGAAAATACACCTCAACCAAAGGAGAGATGAACAAAGGCCACCACTTTGCTCTTTGTAAGCCTCCATTTTACACAATTTTCTAATTATTTTAGACAACAAAAGGAAGTTAGCAATTCTGTCAAAGGACTACACAGAGGCTAATAAGCTCAGCTTAAAGTTAACTCTTATTTCTAAGAACGTATTTGGAGAGAAATCCCTGCAATACCTGACAGCTCTAAGGGAAATATCCAAAGTACATACTTCAACAGCCCAATATTTGGAAGGATACAGAGTTCTTCAGAAGTGATACGATCTTTCCAAAGAGATTTTTTGTACTGAGAAAACTCCTAATAGTCCAGTCATCTTGACAGAAATGGCCCTTGCACAATGCCATAGAGGTATCCTGGACGATTCTGAGGAAGAAAAGGCTAGAACAGATTCAATGAGGACAGGTAAATATTTTTCTGGGGGTTTGTTTTCCTACTTTCTATACGTATTTTCCCAAAACACAATAGGATAAAGCTAAAAACTTGGTTGACCTTTCTCGCTCAGACTAGCTTATCAAATTCTTATTATGAGGAATTTCTGATTTAATGGTAATATAGCTCTATCCCAAGCAAAAGAGATAGAAGAACAACTGACCTCAACTAGATCAGAGAATTACTCCAGAATTTTGGAAGCAGAGTCTACCATAAACACTCTAGAAGATTTCGAAAAGGAGAAACAAAGAAGGTCTCAAATGAAGCGACAGAAAAAGATAGCTGGTGGGATGTCTTTCCTTGGAGCTATTGCAGTTGGAGCCATGTATTTATTTAAAGGAGACTAAGCTCTTTATCAGCGTGCTCAAAAATTGCATTAGACATATTATATTTATTTGATAAAATAGCAATATTCCGAATTCCTTTTGGGGTTTTGGGGTTTTGGGGTTTTGGGGTTTTGGGG